AGAGAGAGAGAGAGAGAGAGAGAGAGAGAGAGGAGAGTGAGAGAGAGAGAGAGAGGAAGAGAGAGAGAGAGAGAGAGAGAGAGAGAGAGAGAGAGAGGAGAGAGAGAGAGAGAGAGATAGAGAGAGAGAGAGAGAGAGAGAGAGAGAGAGAGAGAGAGAGAGAGAGAGAGAGAGACTCTGATTGCGCAAACGCCCTGTTGACCCGAATGTCGGGTTGGCGGAGTTTTGCGTGTTGTTTCTGGAGCCCAGAAACATCTTGCCTGAGCACTGCGCCTGTTTTGGCCTCTTGCGAAAGTGTGTATCGCCGCCTCTCGGCGCGAGCCGCAGACCCCCAGCCCCCATCGCGGCCCCTCGCGGCGCGAAGCATCCGCGCGCTCGATCGGCGCGAAGCGACCATGAGCCACCGCTCGGTGCCTGGAGCACGCCGTTAGGCGTGCGGCGGGTGAACATTTTGACGCTGGGAGATCGGGCCGTTCAGCACGCCAACCGATTGGCGGACTTGCTGCAGCGGTACCACGCTGACTTTCTTAGGCTGTACGGCAGGCAATGCATCAAAATCAAGATGCACCTCGTCCATCACGTCCGAGGCCTGCGGCTTTCTTTTTCCGCTGCCCCACTATCCGTCTGCCAGCTTGGAGTCACGCGGCCAAACCCTGGCTGCCCTAGCGAGTTGCCGCGGTCAGCATAGTGCGGTACAGCGCGTCTATGAGTGGAGCGGGCGTACATTGTAACTGACCTGCCTGACGACCTCGCCTTGGGCAGGGTCGGCGGATGCCGCAGAACTTACTTTTTTTTTCAAGTCAACCTGAATTGTTTCAGTTGCGAGCGCAGGAACCGTCTGTTGAAGGCGGTGCTGGTTCATTACAAAGGTGTCAGGGGCTTTGACCCAGCGAGGCCCATCATTGGCAGGATAGTGCTGGATCTGGTTGATCGGATATCGAATTCGTCGTGTTTTCCAAGAGCCCTGTGCGGGGTTTCGAAGCCAGCGCCAGAGATTCTGGACCTCTGTGAAGGGCCGTCTCGGCCATGCTCGGCATCAGTATCGAAGTCGATGCGATGGGAGCGCGGCGTTTTGCGGCGAGGTGACGTGATGTCGGTCCAGGCAGTGGGCCTCCAATACGTCAAGGCGGTTGGGTTCGTGGACTTTAGGTTCTCGGACAACCCCCACGTGCCAGAGTGCCTGGTCGTGGCAGCCCATTGCCGCCAGCACGAATCCAACTCTGACTTGTGGATTGCCGACGGCCCAATGCATCTCGCGTCACCAGATCAGATAGCCGACGTGCATATGATTCTCTTAGCGGGCGAATGTTTTCGCCCCATCGTCAAGGATATATGAGTGCCAATTTTAGGCGACTCGTCATGGTGGGCAAGCGCCCGCACGCGGCGACCCTTTGGTGCATAGGTGGAGGGGGGATGGCGAGGGGGAGGGTTCGGGGCGAGGCAGGGATGCAAGGAGTGCAATGAGGGAGGTGGCGGCAACGAGCGAGCGAGAGAGACAGAGAGGGAGAGGGAGAGGGAGAGAGAGAGAGAGAGAGAGAGAGAGAGAGAGAGAGAGAGAGAGAGAGAGAGAGAGAGAGAGAGAGAGAGAGAGAGAGCACGACGATGAGGAGGAGCAGGGCTGCGGGAGCCACGGGGTTGGCGGTGAGCAAGGGGTGGACGATGCATGTGTTGATGCATTGGTGTGGGGGGTCCCTCGGGCGATTCTGAGAGCAGCGTTGGGATCGAAACGACGCTATCTTCTTGGGGCCATCCTGGGGGTTCTCGGGCCCACCACGTGGCCATGCCGTTCACGGCGGGCGGGGTCTTGCTGAGGGCACCTTGGGCGGTTCAGGGGGTCCTTTCTCAGAGGCTTACGGAGGGATCCTTTCTCAGAGGCTGACGGAGGGCGGGTTCGGAATTATTGAAAGCATGCATCTAGGCACTGTTAAGTTTAGAGGAGCTGCTCAGACATGCGGCAGCTCCGATGGGCACGACGCTTGCTTCTTGCGAGCGCGTGTGCTTGGCACGCGCTCATCGTACTGAATGCAGACCCCGCAGAGGATAAACAAAACAACCAGCGGACAATTGGCCAGGTCGGGCTGGCGACCGAGAGGGGTTTGCCATTGGATGGCAAGGACAGGGGTGGAAGGGAACGGCTAGTCGGGGGCGGCACGGCGCCCCTTCGTGACCCGACCCTTCCTTGGGCTCCTCATCGCCACTGCCTGACGCAGCTCGGAAAATATGTGCGTTTGCTGCCGCCCGCCAGCCTTGCCCCTGGAGCGATGGGCGTGGCGCGCGGAGAGAGCGCGCCGATCTTTTCTCGACCGCGTCTGTCTCGCCGCCAGCCGCCTGGCAGCGTCGTCGTCGAGAGGGGGGCCATCACCCTTGCCAGCGCCCCCTTCCAGCCGCCCCTCTCCTCGCCACCCTCCCAGTGACGTAGTCCCACTGCCCATCCCTCGCCCTTGCACCCGCAGCCCCGCCCACGAGCCCGCGCGGGGGGGGGGTCTGGATCGCGGCTTCGACGATGGCGACGGTTGCAATGGCAAGCACGCCGCAGGTGTTCTTGCGCTCAAGACACACGACCAGCATGTCTGAGTACGGCCCCCCTGTATTCGGCCCGATAGCCACCGTGCGCGAGCCCCTGCCATCAGGCACGATCACAGCATCGCAAGCGCAATGGATCTTGAATCTGACGTGGTGCAAGGCCCGCGTCAGGAGCCGTACGTTCGGGCGCGAGCTCGTGGTGACGGGCCGTTCGAGCTTCCTCCAGCATGCGCACAATGAGTGCATGCGAATGGTAACGATCAACGGCGAGGAGGGGGGCAGGAAGTGGGCCCCCAAGACCATCCCGCAACCATCTTCTTTCGCTGGGTCCAGCGCCGAGTGGGCCGCCGTCACAGCGGGTGGCAACTACCACTGGACCGATCGGTGGAACCCCCTCGACCCGATGACCATCGCGAGCGGAGGAGCGCCGCCGCGGGGGGCGGGGGGCCAGATGCGGAGGGCGGGGAGGAGGAGGAGGAGGAGGAGGAGGAGGAGGAGGAGGAGGAGGAGGAAGGAGAGGGGGGAGGAGGAGGTGGTCGAGCTCCATTGCGACCAAGGTCCAATGGTCGGAGGATAAGACTTTGGGTTACCCCCTCACTGACGCCGCGGCACCCCACAACTGGAGGGCGCCAGCGGCGGCGCCAGTCGGCATCCGTCGGCGCACGGCCGCATTCACCAAGGCTGACTGACAGCTCTACTGGATCAAAATGTGCACATGTGGTTTTGGATGGCACCAGAAATCACATCCTTTGTACTCCCTCCAGGGACGCGCTGCACACTGCTCAACTCGCACTCTCATGCACGACGACGCATCTACGTATATGTATATGCACGGTCGGGCATTGTAGAAACGAGGATGATGTCGGGGAGGATGTAGGCGAGGTCAATGAGGATGAAATGGGGTCGGAAGGATGAGGAGGAATGCGAGGTCGGGGTGGCGGCAGCGGGCGCCGCCGACGTCGGGTGCGACAGCGACGTCGGCATGCGGCTGCGGCAAGCATCGGCCCTCCGCCTGCGCAGGATGTGATCACGGACACGCTGCTGCTGCTGACCAGGGCCACGTGCTCGCTCACGTTCCTGCCCAGGCCCGCGGCGGCGCGCCGCCACCCATCGCCCTATCCGCCCCGTCTTTCTTGCGTCGTCGTCGGCGTCGTCGTCGCTGTCGCCTGTGCCGCCCTATTGGTCCACTCTCCGTACCTGGGCACCGTTGCATCTTCCCAGTGACACTGTTCATACGGGGCGCGGCATGCTGGAGGCCCATGGCGCGCTGTCGCCCGAGGGCCGCGCGTCTCATCATCTCTCGCTCTATCCGAACCTCGCCCCCTCCCTCCGCCCCACCCCCGCCCCCCCTCCCCCCTCTTCCCCATCCCTCCCCTCCGCGCGCCGCCGCAGGCCGCGGAGAACGAGCAGCTCGTGGAGAAGCAGCTCGGTTCGAACGGCGCGTCCTCGGGTGGGCCGCCGTTGCCCTGCCTCCCTCGCCCCGCGGCTTTCCCCTAGAGTACCGATCCTTGCTCTTTGGGCCCCGCCGTCGCCGTCGCCGTCGCCGTCGCCGTGGCCGCCGCCGTCGTCGTCGTCGTCATCGTCGTCGTCGTCGTCTTGGGGGCCATCTTGAGGCATCTTGGGCTATCTTGAACTATCTTGGAGGTAACCTTGGGCTCTCTGAGGCGCCTTTGGAGACGTATTGGGCCATCTTGGAAACCCCGCCCCCTCGCGAAACTCCCTGTCCAGGTCCAGGGGGTGGGTGTAGGGGGAGGGGCAAACCCATCCCCGAAGGCGAGGGAGTGGGTTGGAAGGGGGCACGCTTTAGACCACCCCACGCCCTACAGGGCTGGTGTGATTATTTCTCCCCTTCCTTCTTCCCCTCCTCCTCTCTCCTTCTCGTCCTGCTCCCCTATCCTGCCCCCCCATCCTGGTCGCCCCGCCTTGCCAGCGATTTAGGCCATGATTCTCCGGAGCTCGGCCCCCCCCGCCCCCGCCCCCGCGCCCGCGGGCCCCGGGGGTCGGGGGCGCTCCGACGACGACCGCGACGACGACGGCGGCGGCGACGACGACGCTGACGACGATGACGGCGACGACGCCTCCTGGGGCCGTCGTGGGTCTTCCTTGGGCCGTCTTGGCCCCTCGAGGGTGCCCCTCGGACAGCCTGGGGATGAAGTTGGGGGGGCCCGTGGGCTGCTTGGGTTTCTGGCCTCTCGAGCCGTCTGGGGGTTATCTTGAAACCGTTTTGGGCCGCATTGCGGTCCTCTCGGATTGTCTCGAGGCCATCCTCGGCAGCATGGGAACGACCTCAGGCGGGTTTGGCTCCTCTCGGAGCGCGTTCGGGCCGTCCTGGAGCCTCGTTGGACCCCTCCCTTGGGGCGTCTTGGGCATGAGGTATATCATGGGCCGCATGGGGCGCCTTTATGCTCACCCATAGCATCTCTGGTCCAAGTCATTCTCCTTGACCTCGCGCTGTCAAGCTTAGCCCTGCATCGCAGGCAGTTCGCGCTCGTGCAGAGCAATGTCCCTCGCCCCAGCAGCATCCGCCTCTGGGCCCGACGCGGCGGCGGCGAGCGGCCAGCTCGTGGCGGTCGAGGACGTGGATCTCGGCTTTTGCTACCTGTGCTGTGACACCATCACGGACGAGGCCGAGAAGCTGGTGGTGCAGGAGGGTTCGGACACCCGCAGGGAGATCGCGTGCCACAAGAAGTGCAACAGCCTCAAGAAGCGCGTTCAGACCGTCCGCAACAACGTGTCGGGCTTCGAATGCTTCTGCGAGGTTGAAGGCGACCAGCGGGCCGAATTCTACAAGACGGCCGTCGGGCTGTACGGGCCCGACTTGCAGAAGGTGATGACGGAGACGTTGGAGACCAAGCGCGTGGATTCGAACGTGGCCGACTTCATCGAGGAGGGCGACTTCATGGAGGTCAATGAGGCCCGCGAGTAACCGCGCTTCAAGCGCGACCCTGCCGCCTTCCAGAACCTGCTGGAGCGGGCGCCCAGGAAGACGTGCGCTATGACGGATATCGAGTACGTGTACGTGCCGAACTACAAGTTCTCGAACCACAGGAAAGTGACGGATGAGAGCACCAGGGCGAGGCACATCTCAGGGGCGAAGACCTTGAAGAAGCCGAAGGCGCTGGCAGCGCCGAAGGAGCCGAAGGAGCCAGCCGCGCCCAAAGGCTCGAAGATCCCGAAGGGCATCCTGAACAGGAGCGACAAGCTGGAGGAGCGCATGGGCCAGTGCATCCTCGACACGGCCGAGTCCATCATGGTTGCGAACAGCCCCGAGGCCGACGGCCACGTGTCCGCGCGCGCCCTGGAGCAAGCTGTAGCCTCGCACTCCAAGCTCGAGCAGGCCCTCCAAGAGTTCAAGGAGGTTCGCACCACCGAGGGGCTCACGAAGGAGACGCTCGTGCTGAAGATCGAGCACGCCGAGGCCCTGATTAACTCGCACATTGACATCCAGTCCAAGCTCGACGGCCATGGGTTGTCCAATTCATCAGAACGCACACGAGCTCGGGTAGTTGTTTGCTGTGTGGTTTGAGGTATTTTTTTCCAGAGCCAGGTGGGCGGGCCATCCTCGTCGCCACGGTTGGACGCAGCTCGAAAACTCGGCTCCCCAGACGGCCGTTGCCACCACTCCCATCGCCCTCCCCAGTGGGTCACTGGGGAGGGCGATGTGGCGGAGGACAGGACGAGGACAATGCGGGAGGCGGGGCGTCAGTAGGTGTGAATGGAGGGGAACGTGAGGACGGGCGAGAGGGTGGGTGGGTGGTCGGGCCAGCGCCGCAGGCATGCTCGAGGACGTGGGGGAGCCCATCTTGGCCGCGCAGGCGGAGAAGGATGCGGCGGCGACGTTGGGGGAGTCTTCGGAGGAGGGAGCTGCGGGGGCCGCAGCGGCGGCGGAGGAGGCAGGGGCCTCGGGGCCCAGTGAATCGGCGGCGGGCGATTCGGCCGCCCTTGACCGCGGCGGCTCGGGCATGGCTTCCAGCGGCCTCGAGTCGCCCCAGGCCTTTGTATCCAGGGAGTCGGCGGCGTCGGCTGGAGTCGCACCGTTCGCTGGTTCCGAGAGTCTTCAGGAAATCTTCGATGCCGAGAATTTCGTTGGCGAACCCGAGAGCGATGCCCACGATTCCGAGGGCGATGCTCTCTCGGCCGACACACTCCGACTCGGGTCGGCCCAGGTGCCCGCGGCCGCTGGTGCTGCGGATGGCGCCGATGGCAAGGCCGCGGGGCGTGGCAAGCGCAAGGCCGTAGGGGCTGCCACGACCGCCAGGCCCAAGGCCTCGGGCAAGCAGAAGGGGAAGGGGCGTGGCAAGGCCAAGGCGAAGGCGAAGGGCATCAAGGCTAAGGCTTAGACGGTGTGACCTTGGCTATCGTTAGAGTGCGCAGTTTTTGGGTAGCTCGGCCTTGCGCGGCGCGTAGGGCGCTCGGCCAGAGCTCAGTACGTACACTCGTCGGCTGTTGTGGTTTCTTCGCAGGCTTGCTGGTTGCGCAGCTCTTGGGGCGCTCGCGCCCGCTGATTGATACAAGCTGTGCGAGCGCTCGCGCTCGCCACCTACAGGGTGCTCGCGCCCATTGCAGCTGGTGGCGCTCGCGCCAACCCTCGATCAAGTGCGTGCAAAAAACACATGCATCATCATCACCGCACACCCCACCCACCATCACTGCGCATCACACCCAACATGTGCCACCTGAGCAGGGGTATCAGCGGGGTGTCAGCTGGTGTCAGCGCGTTGAGCGCTGATGGTATCACGCATGGGTGTCAGCGAGTATCAGATGATGGATGTCCCAGCTAGATCGGGTATCAGCGCATTCCAACTTGATGGGTATCAGCGCGGGTGTCAGCGCGTATCAGCTCCTCAGGCCTTGCGATCGTTGCGAGGGCGGCAACGGCGACGGCCGTGACCACGGCGACGACTTCGGCGACTACGACGACGACGGCAACGACGACGACGACGACGACGATTCCCGTCACCCTATCCCCCCGTCTGCCGACACCCACGCAATCATTTATCCGAGCGGGCTTCCAGGGGCCGATCCTGCCTCGGCCGCGGCAGCGCCTCCGCGTGGGCGCCGAAGAGCAGGGGTCGCTGGCCTCGTGCGGGTTGGGCGACGGTCCGCTTGAGACCCCCATGCGTTGCCCCCTCCCACTTCGTTTTCCCAATCCAACGCCCTCCTTCTTATCGCATTCGTTCTGCCATGTCACCGCCCGCCACTTCTTGAGCCCCCCTCCCCAGTCATTCCCAGCATGTGCAGCGGCGGCTTGCGACCAATGATTGGCGAGTCGAGCGCCCAGCCATCCCATCCATAAACGATGCCCTGGAGAGTTGACGGGGGGGCCGAAGGCACAAGTGCATGGACTGATCAACCAAGCGGGCGGGCGGGGTGCGCGGGTGGAACCAGGGGGAGGGGTGAGGGGAGGGGAATGGGGAGGTGGATGGGGAGGGGGAATGGAAACAGGAGGAGAAGGATGATTGCGGTGGCGATAGCGGGTGGCAAGTGCGATAAGGGGGAGGAGGGCAGGCCTGGTACTCCAAAAGCCCAAGAGATCCAGCCTTCTCGGTAGGGGGGAGGGGCGCGGCTCGACTGTGCTGACAATGGGACGAGCTAGCCGACATGTAAACGACCTCCCCCCCTCCGCCCTCCCTCCCGCCCATCACGCATAAACAGACAGATCAGAAGTGTTGGGCGAGCGAGTAGGTATCCCGTTGGGCCTCATTGGCTCAGAAGGCTAATGATATTGTTGTCATTAAGTGCTCTCGCCCGCAGCTCATACAGGGCCTGGTGCCTGCCGCTTAGGCGGATTCGTAGGACACGTGGCTCAAGCTTCCGACCGCGCGCCCTCGCACAGCGAACTCAGTCTGAACTTGCGCCTTCCAGGGGATGGCGGGTGCCGAATACGCCGTTGGCAACTCTGGCTTCAGCGACGACTCGTACCAGTCGAGGCTGTGGGCCAGGGCGTCCGTGAATGCGTGGACGCCCGAACCGCGCGATAGCACGCATCCGAATTCGGGCGGTGCGGTTGGCGCTGGCGGGAGCCCCTCTGCTTTGCCCGACTTGCCCGACTTTGACGCGAAGCCCAGCAACTCCGACGAGCTCGGCCCGCCAGAGGACGGCGACGAGGGCGGCCAGGGCCATGCCGCCGATCCAGCCGACAGGGCGGAACCTGACAAGGTGGGCGACGACGCCGACGGGGCGGGATCTGACAAGGTGGGCGACGCCGACGCCGAGGCGTCCTCGACGCCCACGCCGCCCCCTGGGACAGGCGGCAGTGACCTCCCCCCCCGACTACTTCGTCTCGGCCGCACCTTCGACTCGATGGATGTTGCCATTCAGTGCGCCCGCAATGCCGTCTTCATCTACCAGGCGCTGGAGGATGAGATTGGGGCTGCCCCGCCGCCGCACTGTTCTCGGAAGCGGAGGTACCACATCGCGTTCGAGGTCCGCGACGAGATCAAGCGCCTCACTGAGTGAAGCTGGGCCGAATACGATTGCTGTAAGTTGCAATTGTAAAGTGTTGCTTCAGGTGCAGCGCATTCTGTGTTGCTCCTAGATATCAGTGAAGGGCTCGCCCTGTTAGCCACTAGCCGAATGCGGACGGCTGGTCGAGACAACTCTGGCGCTCGCGCCCAATTCCTTAGTGCTCGGTATGTTGCGCCCTGCGACGACGACGACGGCGGTGGCGGCGGCGGCGGCGACGACGGTGGCGACGTCGGCTGCGGCGGCAGCGGCGACGACGATCACGACGACGACGACGACGACGACGACGACGACATCGGCGGCGGCGACGTCGGCGGCACGGCGTCGTCCTCCCCCGCCTCGACGTCGCCGCCGATGCCGTTGCCGCCGTCGCCGCCGCCGCCGACGTTGTGCTCGTCGTCGCCGTCGTCCTCCTCCTTCTCCTCCGCCTCCGTATCGACGTCGCCGCCGATGTCGTCGCTGCAGCCGCCGCGGTTGCCGCCGCCGTTGTCGTTGTCGCCGCCGTTCTCGTCAACTTCGCCGCAGCCATCGTCGTCGTCGCCACTGTTTACCTCGTCGCATCCGCCGCCGTCGTCGAGGGCGTCGTCGCCGTCGCCGACGCTTTTGCCGCCGTCGTCCCGCCGCCCTCCCCCCGCGCCTGGTAGGTGCGTGAGATCGCGAACGGCTTCGGCGCGCAGCCGTTCATGTGCATCCGTCGGTGCGTCCTCCGCTGCCGCGCCCAGCGGGGGCCAGCAGCCAGCGCGCGCTCGGTAGAGAGGGTGGATGTCTGGATTTTGAACGAGGGGTGTGCTGGCGATTGGGGCGGGGTGGAGGGCGCTGATGGGGGTGGGCGAGGAGGCTGCAGAAGGGGGGGGATGACAATGACGACGATGATGAGGATGGCGAGGAGGGCGAGGCGGAGAGGGAGGGGGAGGGTACGACAACGACGGCGACGACGACGACGACGACATCGGCGGCGGCGACGACGGCGGCACCGCCGACGGCGAACACGACTTGGAGCTGGGGGGGGGCCTTAAGAGCAAGGGTCGGCGATCCTCTGATAGAGCAGGGAGCTGCCGCCGTCGTCGTCGTCGTCGTCGCCTCAGTCGGCGTCGCCCTCCCCCGCCTCGACGTCGCCGCCGATGCCGTCGCCGCCGTCGCCGCCGCCGCCGTCGCGGTGCTCGTCGCCGTTGTCGTCCTCCTCCTTCTCCCCCGCCTCCGTACCGACGTCGCCGCCGATGTCGTCGCCGCAGCCGCCGCGGTCGCCGCCGCCGTTGTCGTTGTCGCCGCCGTTCTCGTCAATTTCGCCGCAGCCATCGTCGTCGTCGTCATTGTCTACATCGTCGCAGCCGCCGCCGTCGGCGAGGGCGTAGTTCCGGCCGTCGACGACGCTTTTGCCCAGTCGCCCGACCGCCATCCCCCAATCCCCCCCGCGCCATGGTTAGTTCGCGGGGTCGCGAACGGCTTCGGCGCGCAGCCGTTTCATGTGCATCCGTCGTGAGCGTCCTCCGCTGCCGCGCCCAGCGGGGGCCAGCAGCCAGCGCGCGCTCGGTAGAGAGGGTGGATGTCTGGATTCTGAATGAGGGGTGTACTGACGATTGGGGCAGGTGGAGGGCGCAAATAAGGGGGGGCGGGGAGGCTGCAGAAGGGGGAGGATGACAATGACGACGATGACGAGGATGGTGAGGAGGGCGGGGCGGAGGGAGGGGGAGGGGAGGGCGGGGCGGAGGGAGGGGGAGGGCGCGACGACGGCGACGACGGCGGCGGCGACGACGGAGACGACGACGACGGCGGCGGCGGCGACGACGACAGCGACGACGACGGCGACGATCGCGACGTCGGCGACGAACGACGAACGGCGACACCGACGTATCTCACTGGTCCGATCCACCCTCTATCAGCTCTGATTGTCGCGCCGCCATGTTTTCTAGGCGCTCGCGTGCCATTGCCAGGCCCGCCGCCGATAATGCGACTTGCTTCCGCCATCCGTGCATATGTACATCTGCGCATTCATGTTTAAGGTGTGCGTAAGCAACAGCGTTGCACGCTCACAGACTGTCGAGGGCAAGCCTCGCCGCCCGACGATGGCGGAGTCTTCGCCGCGCGCGGTGGGAAATAGCAGATATGGCACCCCTCCTCACCCAACCCTTTTTGCATGTGATTTCTTAGGGCATGCGACCGTGTGTTGGGTATTTGTTTTCTGTGGGGCTCCCTCCCCTCCCCGCGACGGTGCTGCGCGCCTGCTCGGTGGTTGCCTTTTGGCTGGGGAACTTCGCCAGGCCCCAAGGAGCCTCGGTCGCTCTCGCTGCATTGCGCGAGATGTCGCCAAGCACTGGAACTTGCTTGGTTTCTGTTGCCCTCAGTTCGTGCACGAGCGTTTTCAGTGGCCAGTTCCGTAGGTACGCAGCGTGGCATGTGCATTCTGTGTCGCGCGCCGCACGGCCGTGCGGGGGGGAGTTTGGCAGGCTTGGAGACACCCAATGGAGCCGCAGGCCTCGGGAAGCACCCAAGAGAACGATACGATGCACATAGGCGTCTGCTAGGGTGTCGCGTCGTCTAGGCCCTGGAGCCATATGGGAGCAATCCAGATGGTCATGTCCAGGGCATTGGTCCCGACATTGTGCATGGGGTTGGAGCGGCAGGCTGTAAACCTTCAGTATAGCGTTCCTCCCCCCTCCACCCCCCCGTGGCCCCTCGTGCGCATGGAATAATGACGCCCCTCCCCCTCCCGACACCCCGCACCCTTGCTAGGAATATTGAGCGCACCTGGGTCAACGTGTCAATGCATGGCTAGTGGTCTGGGGGTGGAGTGGGTGGTGGGGGGCGGGGCGCGCCCCAGGCCATGCGCATCGAGCCCCCTCTGACGGCGCTCAAGGGCTTTCGT